TGATACGGTGGCTGCGACGATGGGCTCAAGTATAGCAGGGATTGTGGGGCTGGCGCGGGATCGGGCAGTGTTTCGTTCTGCTGTGCATGGGGTCGCAATGAGTCGGAAACGACTCGACGGCACTTAACAAGAACAACAACAACAACAATTGAAATACATAATACTGCACATTATTATTTAAGTGTTTTCCCCCAGAAATGCTTTTTTTTTAAAAAGCTTTTTGTTTTGAAATAATTCCAGAATTAAATGAAAAGGGTCATGTATAGAACACCTGTGTATACGCTTCATCTAGATTCAGCAGTTGTCCACAGTCTGCCACATTTGTTTTATTACTGAATGTGATATTTTTCTTTTGAATCATTTGATACCAACATCATGCACCTTTACCTCCTAAATAGTTAACGTGGGTTTTCTGAGAACAAGGACATTAATGTTCTTACCACACATTATTTATATTTCTACAATTGATGCAATAATGTTCTTAAGCAATTTTTTTTCCCCTAATCGAGATCCAGTCCAGGATTGTGAATTGCATTTAGTTGCTGTGTTTCTTTAGTGTCTCTTAATCTGGGATAGTTCTTAATAATTTTTTTTTTTTTTTTTTATCTTGACTGACATTTTTGAAGAGGACAGACAGGGTGGTTATTTTATAAAATAAATTCTCAATTTAGGTTAGTCTGTTCTGGTATACGTTTTGTCTTTTTTTATTTACCAAAAAAAAAAAAAAAAAAAATCCCACTTTATCTTTTGGAACCAAGAGGAAGAGAGGTCTAACAGTTCAGAAAGACATAGCATAAAAAGGGAAAGTTTTCATTCTAAAAGTATTACCACTTTATCTACTGTTCAAAATCAAGTTTATGATAAGTACAAGCATGTACTTTTTCCTTTTTCAACCTGTTGATATTTCAACCTGTTGCTGATATTTATGGCAGTTAAGACTTCTACATAAGAAACAGGAATTTTTTTTTTTTTTTACCATAATATAAAGGGTAACTGCTTTAAAGAATTAATGTTGTCTCTGAACCTGGATGTCTAGATACTCCTTAACAAGTTCTCTATTTGTTTTAAAGAAAAATAGCATTGTTTCCATATTAATATTTCCCAGATTTGTAACTTGTAACCAAAGACTGCCTCGCCTTAAATGTTGTTCTCCTTCTCCCTTAGCCATAGCACAGAAGGCCAACCATGATGCCCTGGGACTTAGGCATAAACAGTCTGATCTTTTAAAAACTGTTTTATCCTGATCTCTTCTTTATCTTTCCACTCTGCTCAGGTTTTGTTGGTTTCTTCTCTTAATTTTATACCTTCTAGATTGAAATATATAAATAGTGCCATCGAGTTAACTTTGACTCATAGTGACATTATGTACAACAGAAAGAAACACTGCTCAGTTTTGTCATTTTTATGATCACCAGCATGTCCAAATCCACTGTGTGGCTATTGTGCAAAATCCATCTCACTGGTGGTTTCCCTTGCCTTTGCTGGACTTTTATTTTTATGCAAATAATGTGTGAATTACATGTTTCTGTGAGGGGAGGAGGGGAAGGCCAGCTGCATTCTCCCTTCATGAGATACTTTCCTAAGCATGCTATGGTATGTTTATGAATATATTTTACAGGGGGAGGGATCAGTTAGCAAAAATGTATTTACATGCATTATTTGCACAAAAATACAGTACTTGACCACATATGATGTCCTCCACTAGTGCTTGATCTCTCCTGATGACATGTCCAAAGCAAGTAAGCTGGACAGTATTCTGTTGTGACCCATAAAGTTTTCATTGGCTAATTATTAGAAATTGTTCACCAGGTCTTTCTTTCCTTAATACTGTTTTCAGAAATATAAATAAGAGACTAGAGGAAAAGTTGTGCCCCTCTGTGGCTTGGATGTATAATGTAAATGAATGCCTGTATTACATAAATATCTGTTTTTAACATTTAAACAAAGAACCTAGGGTATTCTATATAATTTTCTGTAACACTGTTAATTTGATCATTATTCCAAATTTGAATTAAAACAATTTCAAATTTAGAATAATACACAGTAATTGATGAAAGATTAATAACTCATACCGAAATAACGTATTAATGACTATTTAATGGCTTGATTATGAAATTATTCTCACGTTAAGAAATAATATTTTGATTTAATCATTCTCTGAACTGACTACCTTTATGTTTATTATCTTATTTCCTTTGTTCCTTTCTTTGACCAGAAATGGCAAGCAGAACCGAGTGAAATCTCAGAGAAAAGTAATTCCTGAGTTGGTAGGTTCTCCTCCTACCCAGTCTACCTCAAGTAGGGCAGCTTATTCTGCAAGCCATAGGACAAGTGCTAGTATCTCTTCAGGTATTACTTCTGGTGATTCTTCAGATTCAGCAGGATCATTGGAAAGAATGAGAAGAAACAAACCTGTAACACAAACCACTGGTTCTACATTATCTGGTAAGAAGTAGAGTGTTACTAGTTACTGTGTGTTTAGAGGAAAGAAAATAAAAAAGACACCTGGCCTTGACACTCAAGGAAGAGAGAGAAACAAAATAATAAACGGGGGACAATTAGAATATGTTTGATGAATACCTTGATTTTGGCAGTTGAGGGACCACATTTTATGTAAATTGAAATCACCCAAATTTTAAATAATGTGATATAAATATTCATCATGCTTTGTGTGCAAAATTTGACATTTTTTATGTCTTTAAATCAATAAAAGGATCGTTATTCATATGAGTTCAAAACTGTTGGCCTAGGAAATTTTAAACTGCTTATGCTATTGCCATTTGGCCAGGGTAGTTGTTACAAAGCTACTTTGGTTAGCACTGTCTGAATGAGACTGTTGTGTTTGTGTGCTTTGACAGTGCTCTTAGTGATTTTGGTGACTTGTGATGATTGTATATGTTTACTGTTATAATTTAATGCTTTTCTCATGTCTTATATTATCTAGTATTTCATTAAGTGATATTGGTAGTATTGAAAAATAAACCCCTAAATAAATTTTGGAATGAAAGTTAAGTATGATAAAAAATGATGTGGAAAAGTTCTAATAACCACACTTATCAGTGCAAAGTCTGAATTATACAATGTCTTAAGGAATGCATTTATAGCATAAACTATAACTGCCAATATCTGGATAATATATGCAGTGTACATAACCTACAGTAATTGAAAATGGAAATTAAAGTATGGACAGAATTTAAACAGAAATAAGGGGATACTTTATAAGCAGGGTAGCAATATGAGAAAGAGCATCGAAGGAAAGAAAGTTGTATTTTGTGCATATGTAAAGACTGCCCAGAATACATAGTGCATTTTGGGAAACAATATAAGTAATAGGATTAAACAGATAGAATGTAGCTACATTTTAGACTAGGAAGATTTGCAAAAGAGTTTAGATTACTGTTGAGTAGGGGGGTCATGTGATGAATTGTTTCAGTAAGGTAAATCAGTTTGATGGTAATGCAGGGAAGGGGAAAAGTCTGGAAATAGAGAGTCAGAGGGCTAGTGGTGGAATAGATTAGGAATGGTGGAAACAGGCAAACAGGAGAGCAGTTTGAAAGGAAGAATTAGTTTGGTGTTTGATACCCTTTTCACACATCCACTTTAACACAGAGTTGGGTTTTATGGAGGAAAATTTTGTCTTTTTTTTTTTTTTAAATTTTTGTGATTTGGGTGAAAGTTTACAGAGCAAATTCACTTTCCATACAGCAGCTTGCATACACTTTGTCTCATGACATTGACTGCAATTTCCCACAGTGCAACAGCTCCCCTCTCACTTCTTCCCTATAGCTACCTCTTCCCTGTGTCCTTTCCTCCTATACACTCCTGCCCCTTGAGCTGTCTCCTTGTACTTACACAACTACCAAAGCAGCAAGGAGGCTGCATCTTCCGACCTCCTCTAACCACACAAGAGGAAGACAGACTCACCACTATTAGCCCAAGGCCTATTTCTGTGAGGCCAGACATGCTGCCTCCCTCCAGCCCTTTGACCAAATGTTCCTCCCACAACACCCACTACTTCTCTGCTAGGTTCGATCATTCACTGCAATGGCCACACAGAGCTCCCAGATTATGGGGCTTATTAGGGAAGGACCAGGCTACAATTCAAGTTCAGGAACAACGCTCATTCTCTCTCAGCCCACTGCGTCTCAGCCAACAGTCTCTTTTAGTCTTTCTCCCAGCAATGCGTGTCTCTCCATGTCTCTCTCCCAGCAATGCATGTCTCTCGGTGTCTCTCCCCTAGCAATGCTTGTCTCTTAGCAGTGTTTGTCTCAGCAGTACATCATTTTTCTTAGCCAGCAGTCAGAGACACACTTTCTGCCTCCAGGAGGCCTCCTTTTGAGCCTGGCAGAGTAGGCAAACTAACCAATCATAATACCAGAATTCTAAGCACCTGAGAGAGTGGACTTCCCAGAACACTGCTTTTTGCCACTCTCAACAGAAATACCCCAGGTGGGTAACTCTAACATAATCAGGAACTCCTCAGTTGTTCACAGCAGATTCCACCACGGAGTTTACAAGGACTTGTGGCTAGAAAAGCCATACCAGCTAATTTACTACACTGCAACAGCCCTTCTATTCTCCCATGATTGATCTCTCCAAGGAGTGTATCTACCTAATGTAAATGTTCAGCTCATACGCCTATCTTTTGTTTGGCTGGAAGCCACTGGAGTGGGTTCAATTTCAGACCTGAAGGGCAGCTAGGGGCCATAGTCTCAGGGATTCCACCAGGCTCTATCAGACCAGCAAACCTAGTCCTTCTTTTTTTTTTCCTAATGATTTTGCGTTTCATTCCACATTGTTCTCCCACTCTATCCAGGATCTCTTACGTGGATTCCCCTTATGGAGGAAAATTTTGTCTTAACTTTGTATTTCCACTCATTTTGATGAAATTTTCGTCCTTTGAAAGGCATGTACAAACTGAGTCTGGATGAAGAAACAGGAAGTGTGGGTTTATCATCTCATGCTCACACTGTCATATGGACTCATGAAGTGGGATACTAGGGAATAGTACTGAATTACTTCCTTATTTTTCTAATTATTTTTGTGGAGCATATAATATTTCTTGAGCTGAATAGCATATATAACTGATATATATAGATATAGATAGATAGATACAGATATAGATATATATGGGAGTTCTGGTAGTGTAGTGCCTTAAGGCACTTGACTGCTAATCAGAAGACTGGCGGTTCCAGCCCACCAATTGCTCCTCGGAAGGAAGATGGGGCAATCTATTTCTGTAGTGATACTGCCTTGGAAACCCAAGGGGAGGGGTTGCTATGAGTCGGGTCTGACTCGACAGCACATAACAACAACAATATATATATATATATATATATTTATGCATGCTGTTAAGGAGCTCTGGTGGCGTAGTGCCTAAGGCATATTTGACTGCTAACCAGAAGGTTGGTGGTTCAAACCTGCCAGCCACTCTGTAGAAGTAAGACTGGGCAATCTATTTCCGTATAGGTCTATCACCTTGGAAACCCAGTGGGGGGTTGCTCTGAGTTGGAATCCACTCAATGGCAGTGAGGTTTTTTTTTTCTTTAATATGATGTTAGAATGGGCTGTTAGAGAAAGACCTAAAAATGTTTCTACTGAAATGCTATACTCTAAATAATTTTTCTTTTAATGTTTTATTGTGATTTGGGTGATAGCCTATAGAGCAAATTGATTTTTCCAGTCAGCAGTTCATATACATTTTGTTTTGTGACATGGATTGCAGTTCCCACAACGTAACAGCACTCTTTCCATGTCCTCCCTTTACTATTTGTCATTTGCATTCCTCCTCCTCTCCTTTCCCTTTCTGACTCTGAGCTTTATTCCTGGGCAAATACTACCCTTTCAATCTCAGATGGTTGATTGCTGTATGGAGTACTACCTCCCAGGTGTTATTGTTCACTTTATTGGTCTGTTGTTTGGCTGAAAGTTGAACCACAGGATTGAGTTCAGTTCTAGGCCCAAAGGATATCTAAGGGCCATAGTCTTGGGGGTTCCATTAGTCTCTCTCAGACCAGTAAGTCTTTATGATTTTGAGTTTTGTTCTACATTTTCCTCCCACTCTATGTTGTTGTTGTTGTTGTTGTTATGTGCCGTCAAGTCGGCCCCGACTCATAGCGACCCCTCCTTGGGTTTCCGAGGCAGTATCACTACAGAAGTAGGATTGCCCAACCTTCCTTCCGAGGATATAGGACCTCCTTTCGTGATCCCTTTCAGAGCAGTCAGCAGTGGTAGCTGGGCACCATCTAGTTCTTCTGGCCTCAGGGTTATGGAAGCTAGGGTTCAAGTGGTCCATAAGTCTTTAGACCAGTTATTTCCTTGTGTCTTTGATTTTTTTCACTCTTCTTTGTTTCATATGAGGAGAGACTGATAGTTGTACCTTAGGTTGTGCCTGTTCTATTGAAAATGCCTATTTGACATAAGGAAGTGGATAGTAAACCAAAAACTAAACTCACTGCCATTGAGTCGATTCTGACTCATAGCAACCCCTCCTTGGGTTTTGTAAGGTGGTATCTCTACAGAACTAGATTGCCCAGTCTACCTTCCAAAGAGTGGCTGATGGATAGTAGGTCTAATTAATTCTTTTTAAAATTTTAAATGGAAGTTTGTTTTTAAAATATATAATAAACTGTATTTTCTGAATTTAGTCCAGATTAATATGTTATTTGGAAAAATAAGAGTACAAACTTGATTTGGAATGCTGATTATTTACCTTATAAAACCAAAATTTTACCAGCAGTTCTTTGGAACAGTTTTAAAAAATACAGTCTATGTATTTTAAGACTGTTTTTAGTATATTGTTAGGGGAATAACTGTTTATGTGTTTAAGATAGGAGAATATATATATATAATTAAGTATTAATGCTTTATTTTCCTTAGAAAGTGAAATGGAAGATTCTTCAGCTACCTCTTCATCATCTTCAGCTTCTGATAGTTCAGAGGAAAGTAAAGACAGTCCAAGACCTCGTGAATTCTTATTATGTAGTGGTGGTGGACTGTCCAGGGGCAGCAGCCTCAGGGTGACCAGAACTAGAGCTGCTCAAAGGAAAACTGGTAAGAGAGTCATTGGTGTTTCACTAGAGGAATGTATATCAAGACAATCTAGAAGTTAAATATTAAATGGATTTAATGTATGTGTGGTACATTAACCCTTAGCCTTTTAAGGGTTAGAATGGAAATTGATTTTGGCATTAAAAACTAAGGAACAAAGATTCTAAAATAATAAAGGATTTAAAATTGTTGAAATGAGGAAGACTTTCCTAATCCTTTTGTTTCTTTACTTTTAGGTCCTGTCTCTCTAGAAAATGGATGTGGCAGAAAAGCCACTCGAAAGAGAATTTATTTAAGTGACTCTGATAATAACTCATTCCAGACTGGTGAAATTCTAAAAGCCAGAGCTGGAAATAACCGTAAAGTCCTACGAAAGTGTGCTGCTGTGGCTGCCAATAAGATAAAACTAATGAGTGATGTAGAAGAGAATTCTAGCTCTGAAAGTGTCTGCTCTGGCCGCAAGCTGCCTCACCGAAATGCTTCTGCTGCAGCTAAAAAAAAGTTATTACATAATTCTGAAGATGACCAGAGCTTAAAGTCAGATATTGAAGAAGAGCTAAAAGGTCAACATCAGCCCTCACCAACGTCTACTCATGTTGCTCGGAAAACTGTCCATGAATCTGAAAATGGAGATTCAGAGTCAGAAAGTGATTTGAGAGTTGCCCGGAAAAATTGGCATGCTAATGGTTATAAGTCCCATATGCCAACAATTTCTAAAACAAAATCTCTTAAAATAGAGTCTTCTGAATCTTCTGATGAAGACTCTAAGAGCCATAATTCAGATAATGGACATAAAAGAACTGCCTGCCTTTCAGCTTCTAGGCAGAAACTGAAGACAACTGACCTCTTCAAGGAAGAGGAGGAAGCATGTTCTGAACCAGGGAAATGTGAGGGTAGGAAATACAATGCGGGTCGCAAGAATGCTTTTTTTAAAAAAGCAAAGATATTGAGTGATTCTGAATCTGAAGAAGACGATAGAGAAGATGGAAGATATCACAAGGTGAAAAATAATCTAATTTCAGGGAATTTGAAGTGTGAGCCTGTTGCTGAGTCCCAGTGTTCCTCAGATCATGTATCTGAAACAGATTTGGATTCAGATAATGATAAGACAAAAAAGTCAAACAATTTTGTGAAAGGTAATTAAATATAATTAACTTTAGTTTACTGATTGTCTCTATTTCCTGTAATGTATGTTGGTGTTCTCTCACCTCCTTTGCTAGCAGTTCTCTCCCACCCTGTGCGCTGCCTATTACCCTTTCTGTGCATCTCTTATGTTACATGCATGCATAAGCATTTGTTGAGTATAAAAAAACAAAACAAAAACAAACCCATTCCCATCAAGTTGATTTTGACTCATAGTGACGCAATAGGAGAGAGTAGACTGCCCCAGAGGGTTTCCAAGGGTGTAAATATGTACAGAAGCAGGCTTGACTCATCTTTCTCCCATGGAGTGGCTGGTAAGTTTGAACCATTGACCTTTTGGTTGGTAGCTGAATGCTTTTATGCCATCAAGAGCTCCTTTTTTTGAGTAAACTTAGTTTTATTTAACTAACAGCCAGTCTTGGCCTTAACAACTATTTTCATTAAAGATTTCATTTCTTTTATTGATGATGAGTAGAACTGTGAGTTTGAGAAAAGAGTCAAGTCTGTAAACCATGATTGTGATAGCTTGCAAAGAGGAAAGGGTAGGTTAGTTGAAAGGAATTTGGTAAGGAGTAGTAGTAATTGCAGGAGCTCTGGTAGCATAGTGCTAAGGCACTTGACTGCTAACCAGAAGGCTGGCGGTTCAAACCCACCAGCCACTCCTCGGAAGGAAGGTTGGGCAATCCTACTTCCGTAGTGATACTGCCTTGGAAACCCAAGGAGGGGTCGCTATGAGTCGGGGCCAACTGGACGGCATAAAACAACAACAACAGTAGTAATTGCAAGTAATAGAACAGAATTAAGCTGTTATTATGAATCTCATACCTTTTTTAAATGCTTAGTATGATTAACCAGTTTAGTCTTCATAACTTTCATGAAGTACTTTATTATTGTTTCCCATTTTTCCCTCTGAAGCACAGGGAGGTGAAATAACTTGTTGAATTAGAATCCTACTCCTGATAAATGGGGAATGAAAGAGCAGATAAAGCTAAGATCAAAAACAGTTGGTATGATTGGAATTTGTGGAATTAGGAAAGGTTCAGGGAGGCTGAGAATAAGTGATCAGTGCACATTATCAGTACAGTGATAAGTGGTATTCAGGTTAATGAAATAGTATTTTAGTGTCAAGTGCTTGCATATGCAGTTAGAGGGCATAGGATGTCCCTGATGGGAATATGTTGAAGTTGTGAATGGTGCTGAGGCTGAAAAACTTACTTCTGTAAAGTATTAAGAGATATGGTTCTACCCATTGACTGCCATCCCCCTGCAAGCTAATCAGAATTCTGAACTTAAGTTGTTTAACATATTGAACCTGTCAGACCTTGCAGGTGGTTCTAGTCGCTATAATTCAATATAATTTCATTTCTTTAGGTTTGTTACTCCTTTTATTAAAAGAATACTCTTAATTTTTAGATTCTACATCACAAGACAATGGACACAGCCAGAAAGTTTCCAGGAAAAGGGTCTATTCCAGTGACTCAGACAGCAATTCAAAAGTGGTTAAGAAATCATTAAAAGTCAAAACGGGTCTCCTAAGGATTCCTCGAAGATGTGCAACTTCAGCTGCCAATAAGATCAAGCTAATGAGTGATATAGAAGATGTCAGTTTGGAAAATATGTGCACTAGAAACAGAAATGGAAGGAAAAAGCCCCTCCATTCGGCCTGTACTATAGCTAAGAAGAAGTTGAGTGATTCTGATGGAGATATAAATAATGATGTGCCAAATGAACAGTATGCCCGTAAGGCTAAGCCACGAGAAGCTGACTCAGAAGGTAGTACAAAAAGTATTAGTCAGTCTTTTAACGGAGACTCAGACTCTGAAAATAATTTAAATTCAGAACATAACAACAGGCGTATCAGAAGTCACAAAAGAAATACTATACATTCTAAAACAAAAAATTCCTTGATTAAGCCTTCGGAAGAATATTTAAAAAGCCATATTCAAGGGAGTAAGATTGGTAGAAAATTTTCTTCTGAGTCAACTTTGGCACAGAAATCTCCTTTAGAGAATAACTTTGAAGAAGAACTGAACTATGGCCTACGCAGGTGGAATGGCAGAAGACTCAGGACCTATGGGAAAGCTCCTTTCAGTAAGACAAAAATGATTCATGATTCACAGCAAGCAGGAGAGATGGAAATTAAAAGGAAGAGACGGCATCCTGAATTGGAAAATGTGGAAATTTCTGAAACAATAGGGAATTTGAAGTTTGAACCTGACATAAATCCCAAACCTGATTCAGATACGGGATCTGTCACTGAATCAGATATTGACTATAGTGATAATACAAAAACCAAAAAGAGGAAAACAAAAGGAAAAGCAAAAGTAGTTAGAAAAGGTAAAACTTTTACAGGTACCCTATCTAAAACTATGAGACAACAAAGACAAAGCAAACGACCTAGGTTAAATATGGATGACAATGACTGGGAGGATTTGGACTATGCAAAATCTAAAAGAGTTCTTCGACGTTCAAAAATAAAAACAAGAAATCAGGGTAGAAGGACTGTGAGATACCATGATGGGGATGATGATAGAAGCTTAGAAAATGTGTTAGATGATTGCACCTTATGACCTTGAGGGAAAACCAGTTCATTTAAAGAGAAAATGGACTGGGATTTATGGTGAAAGCTGGCTATTGAAATTATTTTTTCATCCTACAATTCAGGGAATATATTTATATTTTTCTATGAAAAGTTATGAATGTGACTAAATCATGACTGTTATTTTTATTTGCACTTGCTTGCTTTTGTAGCAGCATTCAGCACAGGTGCCAAAATATGCTTCATTTTGGGGGCAGATGTACTTTTGACAGTATTTGACTACGTATAGCAAGAGATTGAAATCTATTAAAACACTAGACATATCCTGGTTATCAAAACCAGTGAGCATTACTTTCATGATAGCAGGTGTCATGCAGTTACTATTTTTGAATTTGTCAAGAGGTGGTAGTTTCTAATCCCGTCTTGTATTAGTGTTAACAATTTCATATGACCTATGTTTACAGATGTTTCATAAATGTTATATACATACTGACATACAATCATGGGAAGCATAACCATGATACGTAGGCAAGGTACCTACCACTCCCCCCACCTCCCTCTGCGCCCCCCCCCCCTTGGTTAAAATGTCTCTGGCCACCAGATTTGGTCATTTTCATTTAAAGTTTTCAGTTTTCTTCCCAAGTGCTGTTGAATCTTTCCACCTGTCTTTCTTTTCCTTTCTTAAGGAAAACGTGATCACTTTTATTTTATAAACTTGAATTTCTAAAGTGCTGGTAAATTATTATTTTTAAAAAATGCTTGAGCATGTATTTTAAACCTTTAAGGCCAGAGCATAGTTGTAGCATTTTCATTTTCTTTAAAATTGTGCACTAACATAATGTTACCTAATTTATCTCCATCCAAGATAATCCTGGTTTCTATCTAAAGGATTTAACCAAAATTTTGCTTTCCATAGTCTTATTCTGTGAAATAGAGTTTGTGTGCCTTAGACTTAGGATAAGGTTTTTTTTTTTTTTTTTTAATGAGAGTGTACAGGGCTAGAAGAGTATTTAAGTTATATGTAGATTTCCTCCACTATCTTGAAATTGTAGAGTTGACTTTTGTTAAGAGTGCAATTGCAAATCTCATTAACATAGGAAAATAGTTGAATGCCATTCTCCATTTCTGTTTTAGTTTATTGCTGCCAAGTGATTCCCAAACATACTTTGCTGGGGGCAACTAAGTGTATCTTTATTCATGATTTCTAGTATAAACCTATGAAACTATCAAATCTAGTGGGAAAATAATTTTGGAATCCATTTAAAAAGTGAAACCTCTATATATCATCAAAACCATAGTATACTTATTTTTGAGCCAAGTATTTTTACTGATAGCTAATGCTACTCCAGACAGCAGAGGTGGCCATGTCAAACTCATTTGTGCCTGAAGATGAACTTGGTTCAAGTGGTTTACATATTTAGTAGCTGAGGTGGGTATGTTACAGCACTACCACCTTTAAGTTATTTTTTTGGCCTTGATTGTGTTTGGTTTCAGACAAAATTCACCTTTATTTTCCTCTGTGTATTCTTGAGGTGGCAGATGAAAAAGCATTAGACTCTTGTATCAGTATTAGAGAACATTCTTAAGTGTTGTTACGTTTTAGTTACTGATTCCATTTGACCTGGTAGGAAGTATTTTGTTTTCTGATGTAAGAGGAAGGACACTTTCTGACAGTACGACCAAGATAGGTGGGATATCTACCTCTCATTTAATTGTGTAGACCACTGCCACCACTTCATGACTCTGATGCTCCTCCTCTTTAAGCTTGTGTTACGTGTAAACACATTGACTCATGATAATTGACCTGAAAAAAGTTAATGGGATTCCCTTTCTTCCTTAATTTTTAGAACTGGTAATAGATGTTACTTGCATTAATTTATTTAAACTCTTCTTAAATGTCTCTGTTTTATATCTATTCTCAGGGTTATAACTCCATGTTTACCATCTTCTACAAGAAGGTACCAAAAACTCCATAAATAAATATGGAATACATTCATAAATACGTAACTTCTTAGTAAAAAGATACAATGACAGCTTAGGCTTCATCAATAGAACTGTTATTTGGACTGAATTAACTGGTTACTGATTAGCTGGTCAGCCTGGTCCTAATTTCTCAGTTTGTCCAAAGTGATTAGACCCTAGTGTTTCAAAGCAGTATTTTGGATAGTAAGTAAAGGCAGGAATCAGACCTGGTAACTTTAGAAGCATGGCTGTCAATGCAAAGTTCTCAAATTCTTAAGTAAAACTGAGGGATTATGGAGATAATCATTCTTAGGGTTTTTGTTTTGTTTTGTTTTGTTTTGTCATGGTGCTATTCCTAAGGTTAACTTTGAATATGTGACACACACACACTCCTAAGTACCTTTAAGGGAAATTAATGAAAAATTAACAGTTAAAAATGTTTACATTCAGCACTAGAACATGTTTGATTCTTTTCTTCCTTTTATTGCAAAACGCACAGGGATTTAATGCACAGATGTACTTTAATATGTTTGGGATCAGTTTGTATTTTTCTTGAGAAAAAAGACAAAGAGTGGCAAATTAAATTTGAACTGATCCAGAAAAAAGTGCTATAGTTTTCCATTGCACTTGAAGTAACTTAAAAGTTGTATGAGAGAAAAAGACTACTGTGGTTATATTTGTCCTATGATTTCACTGTTTTGTGGTTTAAAGAAAAAAAGTTTTGAGGTATTCAGATTTCATTTTTGCTTCCTTTAAGAGGACATTTTTTGCCAGCCATATTAAGAACTAAAGATTTTAAACGTTGAAAAGATAGGCAAGGTTTAAAAGGCTCCCCCCACTCCTCATATCCTACTTATTTAAAATAAAGTATGTTGACAATGTGTGGTAACTTCTGAATAAAGGGAAAAAGTTGGTTCATTTTCAGATAATTTCTAGGGTCATCATTGTTTTTATTTTAGGGGGAAATCCCTGATCTGATCATTTCTTAAGCTAGTAATTCTTGGAAAGCATGATTATGCTAAATCAGTTACTGACAACTTCTATGTTAACAACACAAAGGTTTCTTTGAAATGGTAGAGTTTTAGCTAAAATTACTAGTTTTGTAATAAGAAAATGGGAAAAAACTTATGTTTTCAGAAAGGACACTTCTGAACCTAGAAATGCAAATGGAAAAAGACGATATAAAACAAATCAATAAAAATACCATCTAGTTACTAAGATACATCACTAACATTTTGCACTTCAGCAGTGGTTGATCTGCTAAGTAAAAATGCTTACTCAAAATAACATTGGGTCCATACTACATCATCCTCTGTCCTCTTTGGATTTTTTTTTTACTTAAAATAATCAGAACACATGATTTATTAACTTCACTGTACATATTAAAAATTAAATTGAAGGAATTTTAATCTGTCAGTACAAACTGAATATGTGCCAACAGAAAAAGAGGTTTGTATTTCAGTAGAATGCAAGAAAGAACATTGTTAAAAGTGAATACAATATTTTTGGTTTTAATTTCTACTCGGTTGTACTTATTTTTTGTTCAACTTTTAAATGGCTAGAGGTCTTTTTGCCTTGCCCTTTTGTAGCCAAAATTTCAACTCCCTTTTCTTTAAGTCAGTATATTTACTTTATTGAGTATCTTGTAGCTGTCACAAAATGCTTAATTTTTCTTAACACTGAATGCAATTTATAGTTGTTTTTCTAGTATGACGGAACACAATGAATTATCTTTATTGTAGAAGAACTTTGCATCTGTTAATTATTTAAGATAAATCCTTCCAACTTCTGCTGTGGATATCAGGAAAAAATAAAGCAAAAACTCTAAGAAATTTGTGACATAAGAGTTTAAGACTGGAGAATCTTTGCTTATGTCCTAGTATTTTGGAACGTAAGAACCAGATTAAATTTGAACCATCAAAACTAAGGAGTTAAATGGAGCACTGTGAAAAAGATTTCCAGTCCAACTCGATTAGTAAATGTTGATCATACTTGTAGCTCAAATTGAGAATCTATGGAAAGGACTGAATAGTAAAGAATGTGATGCTGAGGGGTGTGTTGTGTTCTCTAATATTTTAAGAGAAGAATTTAAAGCAATTTTCTAAAATTACAAATGTTTCCTACCTAAGGATACATGGCATTTCTCAACATCAGGATTTTCCCCAGCCTCTTTCATTGTTTTACTCTGGTAGATTGGCTCCTAATATGTTCATTTGATAGAGTAAACTCAAGACTCCGTATCTCCTCGAGTGTTGCTTTCCTGGATTTGATGGAGGGTGGTGGTGTTGGGGGATGGGGTACAACATTTGGGCCCTACAGCTCTGCAGGTTATACTTGTGGTTCCATGGAAGTGTAGATTACATGTCTGTTTGTCAAGAAGAGCAAGACTGAGTCACTGAGTTTACCAGTGTTACAGCATATTTTCTGGTCACACATTACTTTTTTAGTCAATTTTATGGTAAGTTTAAATGGGAATTGATCTACCAAAAAGCACCATTTTAACTGGCTCAACTGAAATCAGATGACCAGTTAAGAAACTGTATTGACCGAAGCAGCTCTGCTTACCCTTGGTTCCTCAAGGTAAATAATTGAGAAATTACTACCTTCTTCTTACAGTTACAAGTTAAGGGCATTTTTAGTTTTTAATTTATTGTAGTTTTCTATAACCGTAACTACACATTCCGTTCATTCACCTGTAAAATTCTAACAATACCATCACAGGAAAAGTGAATCTTAATTTTCCCACTCCCACAAAAGATTTCAAATTTTAAGTCTAAATTCATGACCACATCTGAATCTTAGCATTATCATCTAGGAATCAGTTTTTATTTAATTG